GCTTTGATAGCCCTTGGTATGGGGCGCCATTTGGGACATTAGAATTATTATTGGCCACTTCAATCAACTGCACTATGATATGACTACAAACTCCTGCCAGATTCACGAGACATAATTCATTCAAGCAAGTGATAAGTGAACACTCCCTTAACTGTGGCTTTATACAGCAGAATCTGCTGAAATGGATTCTGATCAGCGGCCAAGGTGTAGACAAGTGGTCCATGGGTAAATCAGTGGTCAATATGTATTATAAGTGATAACATTTAGATAATGATCCATCTGTAAATCAGTTGTTTTACCATATCAGTAGAAATGCATGAGGTTTATCCACCAGGTAAGTACAGTATTCACAAGGTAAACTAGTGGTTCTCATTAGTCCATTAATCAGTAGTTCCTCAGTAGATCAATGGTCCGCGTAAATCAAGGTGGTTCTACAAGTGGTTCTTCTGGAGATGATTGGTCCCAAGTTCAACTCTCAGGTTAGATCAATCTTGTGTTAATCAGGGGTCAATAAAAGCAGTGGTTTTAATCCAAATCAGTGGCCCTTGTGTGTTGTTCCCAACAACCAGAGTATCACTGAGTGTTAATGTATGTTCGGTGGATCTACTGTAGTTTCCAATTCAAAAGTGATGGATTCTTGATATGGTCATCTCAGCTGGACTGAATTTTATATTTTAATTTATTAGCTGAATAAGAGCAACACCCAACTGGGAGCTAATATCGCACAACACGTCAGTGTACACAACTAGACAACGAACTCTCATTCGATAAGTACATGAACAGATGTGCTGTTCAAACAACTACGACGATCAATATTTATGATAGTAAAATGTCGGTTCATCAAAATATTTGAATTATCAAAGTGCTTTATTATAGTTCAATCATTTCACAGCTTCAAATGTATTGACTGACTCAGAAGGGGTCATCTATTATGTTCATGAATGTATTTTCATGAAAACATAACTCATTTACATCGCTTTTCTGTGATCTCCCTCCCTACTTTTCCCCTGAAAGAGTGTATAATAAAATCATATGATTTTATTGATTTCACAAGGGTACATTTGCTTGCAAAACCTACTGAAAATCCCTCCACCCTCCCGACAGCCTATGTTTTGTACTCTTACAGAATTAATTGATGGTCCCTAAAAGCATTATTAGCATTTGATTCATACAGTACTGTATTCTATTTACTGTAAGCCATATTATACAATGTCTAGTTGTACTCCAATATCACATCAACTAAACATATTCAATACAAGTATTTTTAACTTTTGTTGACTTGATTTAAAGACTTGACTCATATCACATCCACTTCAATCATATATTTAATAATTACTTATAACGTTTCTTGACTTGATTTAGAATATTTGAAAACTATAAATTATTATAGAAAATAATGCAAATCATACAACTGGAAAATAATCGATCCCAAATTGTACATGTTTCAATTACTGTATTATTGTAATTACGTTTACTACCAAACAAAGTTTTATCAAACACCTTTTGTCTGAAAAAACTTTGCCTACTTCAGACACACAAAGACCTAATCATAGACATTACTCTATTTTTAGCAAATTATTCAATGAATGGAATACTGTACTTTATGAAGAAATATAAAGTTTTAAAAATATTATAAACTATGCTAAAAATAATTTCATTTAATATTAACTAGAATTACCATTAATATTTAAATAACAGAAACAATATCAATACAGCTGCAACATTTGTATAGATTATTAATTGTACTATGAACTTCACCTTTTGATTTACAAGTCAATTTACCAACCTAGCAACAAATTAGTCAAAAGATTAACAAGGCATTACATGTGCATATCTCACGGCAGGAATGTGATTTACGTAAGCTCCTCTGCGATTATCCCTACAACTGGCTAGCACAGTCGGGAAGCAATAATAACATGGCTTACGAAGCTAGCCAACAAGTTCAATGAACTACTGACAGTCACTATCTGTACCATAAGAAGATCCAGGATTTTAAAAACTGGCTTTCACTTGACACGGTCAACGGTGCACCCAGTCCCAGTACAAAAACGCAATACTTACAAAATAAGCAATTAGTATAGTTGCGTATCATACATTTGTGGAAATTATTATACAACATTTTAATGCATGAAAACAATTTTTTTTTCTCAATTCTAGTGCTAGAGTAGGTAAAAACAATGTTGAAAACACTAGCCTAGAATATTCATTGTTGTGCATTATCTAAACAAGTTGTTTCGAAATTTTGCACATGAATAAAAAAAGGCAAAGCAAGTCATGCACTAATGAAAAACTAGTGCACAGTTGATGGATGAGGATGGAATAATAATAGAAAGAATATCCTTTTATCATGGAAATTTCATCTGAGGATCACAAACACATTAATAAAATTAATAAAGGCCTTTTTGGAACCCCTGTTAAATAAACGCTTTTTTATTAGTATAGGCCTACAATACAATTAGCCTCCTCAAGAAAGTGGTTTTTATTACATCACTGAATCACACAACAACTCCTGTATTTGAATTTTCTGATAATACTGTGTGACATAGTGCAATCCATGCCACGCCAATGAAGTTTTCCTCACTTAAGTCATTCAGCAGATTCATAGTAAGACCAAGTGCCATCCTATTCAGATTAGATATCTTTAAGGGTTCTTAATGTTGTCATACCACTACATCTACAACCTGTCCACCGTGCTTGTAGACTTTTAAATTCAAACATTCTGGAGTGTGTCAATAACATATCCATAAAAAAATTATTATGTTGTCCGAATGACTCATCGTTCACAAAATTTGAAATATAAATAATTATGAATCCTTTAGTAATCTGTCTTTTTAAAACAATTTCCCTTGTTAATCTGTGAATCAATTATGAACACATTGTAATTTATAGATCATAATTTGTGCTGAGCTAAAGAAATATCAATATTTATTATCAATATATAAATAATAATTAATAATAATATTAATATGTCTTTCTTCTAGCGCTTCATGCACAAAGCCTCTAAGCGATTCACATTACTACCCCGGTCATTGGATGGAACACATACTCACACACATACAAATACAAATTATTTATACTGCAGTTTTAAGAAAATATTTCCATGCCCATGTAAAAGATGATAGGAATCTATTTTTATTTTTTTGCATCTAAACCCTGAAATCAGGTACAATAAATGTCAAAATTTATATAAAAGCAGTAAAAATTGAATTGATTTCCATGTCTAATTAAAAATTGATTAAGTTGAACTTATTTGCACAACTCAATTATTTGAACTTGGATATTTTTCCTGATTTTGCAAATAGAAGGAAATACAGTAATTTATTTAATCACAATCCATTTCAATTGTTTATTTATTATAAATTCATCACAAAACACATTTATTAAAAATTTCCTTCATTCAAACTAAAACCGAAACTTGATCAATTACATTAATTTCCTATTTCTATTATGAAATTAATGTTTAAAGTTTAGTCACTCCTAACACTGTACTACAGGTATACAGTAATATAAAGTAAATGACAGCAGCACTTTCGAGACTAACAATATAGAATTTAGTCTCTAGCTTTCGTCCACACAGTGGACTTCATCAGGAGCCTGTTTTATTCGTCATGTTACAGGTATACAGTGAAAGTAAAGAGTGCAAGAAAAATGCAATATATATTTTTGCCTCCCCTAGTAATGTTTTAGATTTTTTTTTTCAAAATAGCTATACCACTAAAAAAAACCAAGAGTTTTGAGAAGAAACATTTATAATTTAGAGAAGGAAAAAATGATATTGATCAAGTTAAAAAGGTACTGTATATTGAAAACTATAACTGTAACTGCTGGAAAGCTGAAGAAATATATAATATAAATAGTGCCATACACCCAGGCTCCCCGGTTCAAAAAATTCTGTAGGTGTCACATGATACCATGACATCAGAATATATTATAGTACTTTAAAGGTAAGCCTACAGCTGGGTAATGAAAACATGTGGCTTTCTATTTTCTCATCTGTCTACCATTCCCTCATACACGTGACCACGGAATCTGTGATAATCCCGTCGGATAAGCCCTGGAGAGTGAAGGAATCGGCACAATTCTGCCAGACTAAAAACTAATACAGGATATGCTTTATTAAATACAGTATGGCACTTGAATTTACCCAAGGCTGCCGCGTACAATAGAGGGCACAGGAAATGCTCAGCCACACTCCCATACTTGACTGATTGTACTAGACCGCACTTAATGGCTACTAACAACAAATCAAAGCATTCATTAAGTACCATGCAAGAATACTATACAAGACACACAGTGACAATACTCGTACAGATTGTCAAAGTGTATTAAAAACAGAATAAAGTAGAAATATCAAATATTTTTCTGCCTTTGCTTATTCTTTTAATTGCTGTAGTCTCTGTTGGAACTTGGTACATTACAATGTCAATATCATTATCAATACCAAAACTTGCGAAATTTCCAAATGATCTTATCAACTATAATACAAAATTCTTGCATAAATACACACAGCATACCAAACTGTGCATGTCTATTTCAATTCATTCAGAAAAATAAAATCATGAATTATGAATCTTTCACATCTCTCAATATTCTCATTAACAATACTGATACATGTTTTAAAAAAAATAAAAACACAAGAACTACAATACCGATACAGGCCAAGTGTCCCCTCTAGGTACAGAGGTAGAAGGTTAAGATTTAACTGAACAGAAAGGGAGGAAGCATTTTATATTAATGATGCACACAAAAACGAAGATGCACTGCACACACACTCTGGGAGGGCTGACTACAAAAATATGATTATCTTTATCTATTTGGTATGTCAATGAAGCATATGAATATATGGTTAACAATCAGTGGTTCCTCCTGGTATATTACTCGTAAATGAGATACAACATCAACTCTCAGCCAGCCATATCTACGTCAGAATCCTAGGCCTATCGCACAGAGCACACTTCGTGATCACACACGGTGTTTGAGCAACGGAAAGGTCAACTTACTCCTCGCTGCGCTGATCAGTGCCTTGCACTCTCGTATCAAATCCTTGATCGCTTTATTCGTACTTTCCAATTCATTCTCGTGAGATCTGAGATTTTCACGAAACTCCGGACTGTCCAAATAACAGTCGCTAAACTCCAAAGGTTGCAACACCATCTTGTTTGTTGGAAAAACCGTTAGTATCCTAACATAATTCCCTGGAAAATCGTCGCAACGCACTAGGCTGTGGCCCCGCCTTTTAAGCAGATTTTCTGGTGGATACGACAAAATTCATCATGGCGACCTCCACCTGCTTTAGTCTCGTACAACCATTACATAAATGTAAATGTGATATGACTAAATAATTGATAAAATAACACTTTGTGTTAAAATTTAACCTTATAACTTATATAACTGATAAATTTAAGTAAATTCGATCATTAATGTATTTTTTATCGTAAACTAGTTGTATAACGGATAAGTTTAAAATAGAGGGCGCTATATCAGATTTAAGACACGACAGAAAAAGAAAGAGATTACAGCCGCTTTATTATTATTATTATTTAGTGTATTACTTTGCTAATTGACATAAGACATTTATTAATATCTATTTATTCAATATCTGAAACGTTAATAAATAATATTACAGAGTTAAAAAAGGACAATAGGCTGAAAGCCTACAGTAACACAAATATAGATAAATTTCATCACTATCTTATAGCCCATAAGTAAAATACAATAATTATATCTGTGAACATTTACACAAGACAAAAAAAAAACATTCACACCTCATACAGCATTAAGCGTTAAATAACATAATAAAATCATTAAAATTGGCCGCTAGTAAATTTCTTCAAAATATTTATACAGGTATCTAAAGAACCGAGAAGTATTTGCTGTACTGATTATAATCATAAGTAAAATATAAGTTTAAATATTTTTTTAAATATATATTTTGATTTTAATAATGAGAATTATTTACAACTAATGGTTTAGACTAAGGAAAGAGGGT